GCCTCCAGCAGCCACCTGGGGCGGCGGCCGGGAGCTTCCCGGCAAAAGGCCACCAGCAGGGAAAGGATGAGATTTCTCCCACCTAGGACCAGGAAAATTCGGCCTGAGCTCTGCCGGTCCCCGCATCCTGGGGCGGGGATGCAGTGGGAGCTGCCGGCAAGCGGTGGTCAGGGTGGGAAGAGACCTATGGGGATGGGGCAGCTCTGGGATGAGCAAGGCATCAGATGAGTTTTCAGCTATCAGAGGCTTAAGTCTCCTGGAGAGAAAGAAAAAAGGCTGGTACAGCCAGTCCCTCTCTTTGGTCTCTTATGTCACCCCTGTCCGGGCAAGGAGCAAAGAAACCGCATCAAACAGTAGCTTAAAATTAATTTATTTAACAAATATAGCTATAATATAAATGATAATAAAATTTCAAATATACAGTATATTACATAGTACACAGAGCCCCTTCCAAAGGAGCTGGTGAAGGAACAAACACAGGTAACAGACGGTGCTGTTACACAGGGATGGGAGAGGCAGCTCTACACTTCCACCTCTTAACCTTGCCTTGCAAAAAGTAAGAGAAACGTCCTGTCTTTCAGCCCCCTTTTTGCCATTTCTCTTCCACAGTTCCTTCTCCCACGGCAGGGAGCTCCCCCCAGGTTGTCAGTGGGACCTGGAGAAGTAAGGCAGGGCTGGCCCATCACCGCCCTGTGCCAGAGAGGAGCTGGGAAGATGCTTCAGGTATCTGCCAGACAGAGAGCAGGACAGGGCTGGACCGGGAGGCCAGCATCACAGAGGGAAGCAGAGAGGCCGAGCAGAGCCAGACTGAAGAAGTCTGACACAGGACCGTGAGGAAGTCCGCAGCAAGGAGCGGGGAGGGAGCATGTTCGGAGCCGGCAGGAGTGTACAGCCTGGGCCCAGCGGGCCTTGGCTGGGCTCTATGTGAGGTGGTACATGCTGTATCCCACATGTGCTGTGTACAGTCCCACAGGAGCCACGGGCAGCCCTGCCCGCTGGAAAGGGCTGGAGGCACCGTAGAGCGAGGCGCCGGCCACAGCCGGGCCGCCCAGTGGGAAGGAGATGCCGAAAGCCGCAGGCGGGAGCATGGGCTTGGCTGCCATCTTCAGCTTCTCCAGCTCAGCCTCCTGGAGCCGCTTGGCCTTGGCACGGCGGTTCTGGAACCAGATCTTCACCTGGGTCTCAGTGAGGCTGAGCGAGCTGGAGAACTCGGCACGCTCGGCGATGGACAGGTACTGCTTCTGCCGAAACTTCCTCTCCAGGGCCAGCAGCTGAGCCGTGGTGAAGGGCGTCCGGGGCTTCCTGTTCGTCTTGTGCTTGCGTAGGGTGCAGGCTGGGGGGCTCAGCCGCCCTGCGCCCAGGAGCGGCCGGAGGAGAGGGAGAAGGAGAGAGACACCTCGGTTAGCAGTGCCTGAACCCGCACGCCCCGCAGAGCCCCCATCCCACAGCAGCTAGGGTGGAGAGACGGGAAAAATCAGGTCCCACTCAAAGTGAAGTGGCCCAAAAACTTCAGGGGCATGCTTCAAAGCGATGTCACCCGTCCCAGTAAAGAAAGCGGGTGCTTTACTAAGGACTTGGACTTTTCCGGACCCCCGGGACCGACGTTACTCGTAGTGCTTCCCAGCAAGAAGCTCTCCCCCCTCCACGGAAAAACTCGGCAAAGAGCAGGACTCGAGTCAGACACCCACACACCCTCCACAGCTCTTGGCTCATGCAGTGAAGACTTAAATTAAGGGAGTGATCCTCCAAAAAAATATATGGCCTGTCCTTTTTATTGGATTAAAGAAAAAAAAAAAAACCAAACTGGACTAGCTTCTCAGACTCACACCCTCTTCATTAGGCCCCTGGGAACCGGATTAAGCATGTAATTAATTACGAGCTCTGAATTCACACTCAGCATCTATCTACCGCTGTTCCCCAGTCTGGTCCTCTCCTCTCATTTAAGATTTCTGGGGGTCCTCAACCTCGATCTGCCCCGGGTTTACTTAGCAACAAGGCCTTTTACTTTGCAAATTAAATAAATTAAGCCACCGCGATAGCCTTTTCGGGAAACCTGCGTTTCGCCAAGGGAGAAAGAAAGCAGCACTGCTCCAAGTTCTGCTAAGAGCATCCCAAAGGCTCCGGAGAGCCCCAGCGCAAACTGGCCCCTTTCCACGGGAGCTCGGGGGGAGGGAGAAGGATCCGGCCGAGGGCA